GTCTAAATTAAAACTAATGCTCTATACATTTGCAAGTTAACAAACAATTTTGAACTGTGCAAGAAACACTGGAAAATACATAATATATAATATCAGACCATAGAGAGTTTGTATCTTTTTGAGGGCATTGTGTTTCTTTTTAAACTTTATCTTTTACAAATCAAAAACCATCAGGTCATTACTTACCACTGCACCAGAGCATAAGGTGAAACTTTGAAAAAGCAGATATACAGTAGATATAGAGAACTCTCTCAATCTTAATAACAAAGAATAATCAGTGGTCTTCTTTGTTGTAATATACTGTACCATAATGACATACCTTAGTATACATACTTATAACACAAGCACGTATCTTAATACAAAGTGGAGGAATGAGTATCTCACTCTCACTGCAGAGTAATAGGCTATGACAGAAGACTGTAAAAGGTTACAAGTCATTTAGACAGTACTGTTTATCTTTAAATAAAGAAATGTCTTTAAAGAAGTGTTTTAGCAAGTCAGCTAAGAAGCGGAATATAATATAGTATAACAAAACACTGATGGTCAAATATCAATATAAACCTAGTATAAGATATTTTGATGACAGGATAAATTGAAAGAAGAAATATATGGCAAAGGTAGTGATGGTACTTACAGTCTATAGGTTTAACACTGAATAACCTCGATTTTAAAAGTAAAATGCTCTTCTACGTAGAAATCAATGTCTGAAGTATATGTTTTGTTCAAGATGTGATTGATCAGTTTGCTAGAAAAAAACATTAATTGTCCTTATATCACTTTTTTTTTATCTTTCATGCATGCAAGAACTTTACCTATTGGTGAGAATCCCTTAAGTGTTTTGTGATGGGACACACAATGAAAACAATTTAACTGTTTAAAGGTCACAAATGGAAACATCTTCATAGGATAAATAGAAAGGCTGGTGAATATTTGGACATGAAAGAGGAACCTTCTGTTTGGCAAAGTCAGGGAGGAGTCTGGAGCATATAAAAGAGCTTTCAGACAGACAACGGGAATGCTGATGAGAGACTGGTAGAGAGTGGAAGCTGTACTTCTGTGAATTGCCACTGCTGTCTGTTGTTTTTGTTCTTACTTTGTTGAAAACTTGTTTAATAAGGTTTGGGAAGTGCTGCCATTTGCCTCCTGGATAAAAGCAGAACCTGCACACAGCGCAGCACGCAGCAGTCAGTAGATTTCTGACACCAGATTTGAGGATGTTTATTTCATTCTGTTGAGACACGGCATATTTATTTAGTATGTAAAAGGAAGTAACTACTTATCAACTGCTGCACATCAGACTAATAGACAGCAATGACAATCACAGTTCAAATAAGTAAGCTGAAGCGTGTCTGGTGGAAGAAGTAAGACATACAGCTGAATACAGCATTAATTGCATTTGCATTAGAGCAGGATGTTTTGTGATCTGTTGTGGAGCTGCTCTTTATGGAAATTCTATTCAAAGTATTGAACTGAGCATTTCTGAAAAGGTCCTATTATTCCTAAGAATTCAATATTATTTGCATATTCATCAGGATTAAGAAGATTGCACAGCTTAGTTTTAAGTCAATTTGTATTACTCGTGAGATGCAAAAGAATGTACAAAAATATCAAAATCTTTGATTAAAAAACTGAAAACCCTTGAAACTCCCATTTCATTAAAGCTACAAAATGTTTAACTTTAAACAAATTCAGATAGTAATTTCCTGATGGCCTTTTCAGCAACTTAACTATCAAATCTAAATGTAATGTTTGTAGGTTTTATGTTGCAATATTCAGCTTCTTATTTTATTCTTCTACTTTCAAGAAATGTTTTGCTTGGCTGTCTGCAATCAAATTAAGGCACAAAATATTTTTTATTACTACAGCATATGATGAAAAATAAATCACTTTACGATAATTTTCTGCAGTCAGTTAGAATCTCTTATTTGATAACATATTCCATATAATGTTGAGGAAAGTTAATTGCAACTTTTATGACACTGTCCCATGCATGGAAGCAGTTTGACAATATTATTAAAGTGTATCACATTCATCAAGATTGTCTTCAGTGTACAAATTAAAGATTTGTTTCAGAATAAGACAGTTAGCATCACTGTTTTGGATAACAAAAACACAATATTTTTAATTCAACAATAAACTAGACAAATGATCAGTAATCGCAAGAACAAAGGGGTCTCAAGGGTCAATTTAAAATATCTGCAAACTAAATTGCTAATAATTAGTTTGATGTTAAATTCATAAATATCACAAAGGTCACAATAAAAAAAATACTTCAGTTCTATAGCAGGTGTATTTTGTCTTGTGACAGATTCTACAACAAATGCAAACCACAAATAATAATAATTATAAAAACAATTTAAATACCTCAAATGGATCGAAGATGACAGATTATTTATTACACGAAAGTATCTTTTCATTAAAATAAAGTGTTTTAATTTCCAATTTGAATGAACAATGGGGAAGGGGGGGGGGCAGACTGAACCATTATATAACAGCATTATCATTCAGAGATTTCACTTTTATTTGTTTATGTAAGCAACACCACAAACAAAAGGACAACATTTGGTCCATCTAGTTTATTTTATGGCTAGAAAACGCAGGGTATTGGATTCAACAAGATGGCTAGGTTGCTTGTTCCAGACTCCTGCATCTCTTTATGTAAAGATGTGCTGTCTGTTCTGAGATTTAAATGCACTTCCACGTGTTTTTCACAGTTCAAATGGAATATTTTGTTAATACCTTTTAAGATTTTGAATTTTGCACTTGAATCCTGTAGCCTTTTAGCCATCTCTGCTCAAGTTCAAAAAGATTCAGCTGATTCCTTTAAGCATGGAAATTATCTGGTCCCTCTTCTCTGGACTGATTCCTGCGACGCAATATCTTTTTCTCTAATTTGATGACCAAACTTTTAAACGAGAATTTAAACAATTTTAAATGAGAGTCCACTAGTGCATTGTACTGTTTTACGGTAACATCTTTTGATTTTAATTTTACACTTTTAACTACATATCAATTTGCTTTTCTATTTTATTTCCACAATATCTAGAAGAACATTATGTTATCACAGAAAGCAAATTATTTTTCGTCCTGCATGTATTGGTTTTATTTTTGATACCCACACGTATCAAAATACTGTGTTAAACTGCTGTGTCAAAGTGCTGTTTTAGAGATAAGATAAGGTACTTTCCAAAGATATGAAAGGGTTAAAACCCCTACACAGACCTTAAGTTCTATAAATCATCGCTGTTTCAGGGGAGCAATACCATTTCGCTCCCACTGCTCAACTTTCCTCAGTGTCTCCTTGTGACCCCCCGCCTCTTGCATGAAAGGCATATTTCACCTTCGTGTGTGCCCAGATGAAAGAAAAATAATAAAAATGCAAAACAGTTTCTGGTTTAATCTGACAGTTTTTATGCAAATGAGGTAGTGTTCTCTGCTCTCAAAGGAATGCATGCTGCCATCCGAACATTTTAATAATTTACATAGGAAATAGTTGAAAATAAGCAGTGTACAAAAACATAATCAAATTACCCTAGTGTGAATAAGGAGTTCAAGGGGATTTAATACACATCGCAGCTGTTGTATGGTAGCCATGTGGAACAAGACAAATGAAAACCACGCCCTCTTGCCTTTGGTTGTCCTGCCATACAGGAGATCAAACACTTTGTGTTGGAGACCAAAAGGCAAGATGAAAACTCTGTCTGGAAAACGAAGCACTTCATTAACCTACTAGAACATTTCAATTCTAAAGAAATGGAATCGGAGTCTGACTTTAAATTTAAAATGTCTGCTGCCTGATATGTTTGAATGAAAGACAAACAGTACAGGACTCATTAGGAGTCTCTCCCTTTTTTATTATGACATCAAGAAGGCAGTGAAAAAGGAGGCCATAGAGTTTAAGAAGCCAGGATTGTTAGTAGCCCAGAAACTTGCTTCCAGACAATAGCAAACAGGTAATATTTTTTTAGCTTTTTTGGCATTTTCAGAAGAATTGCCCAATTAAACAAAATATACTCAGTCTTCAATCAAACATTCAAAATAAAGCATTCTTCTCGTGATAGCCTTCTCCTGTGGGGTGAAATTTTATGTGTTATGAAAACTGAATATGTGTGCGTTAAATCTATAATAAAAGAAAACATCCATCAAATTATACATATATATACCAGCTGAGGAAGCAATCTGTAACTTTTCCATCAGTACAGAAATAAAAGACGTAATGGTTTAGTCTGTTTTTTCATGTCTGTGTTTAACAACTTTGGTTTTGCAGTCTCAAAAAAATCTTTTATGGTGAATCAAGATTAAAAACCCTCCAAGTTGAGCTACTCCTACTTTATTATTTTGCTGTGATTATATTTACTACATGCAAATATGAATACGGACTAAATTTGTCACTCAGCAAGAGCTTACTGAGAACTACAGGCTTTTAGGGGTGCCTCACACTGAAATGCAGTAAAAACAGTCGTGTTTTGTGGAAAAAAGAGGCCACTCATTTCCTCCCTCTCACCCAGCTCTATCAGCTTGCACCAGTCCCTTCTGTGTCTGCCTTGAAGGCAAAGTAATCCTGATGAAGATTAATGGAATCAGATTGGAAGTGACAGGTTTTAGACAAAAATCAGAATTGCCTCAGGCTGCATCCTCTCAGTTTAATTAGTCACTTAATGATCAGTAAAAATAAAAGCAAAATGACACCCTTATTAACAGTGTACCTGAATATTAAGTCTCTCATCTATGCATGTTCTTTTGAATTTATGGAAGGCTTCTTATGAGAAACATAAATCATTACCAAATCCAGCTTACTGTGGATAAAAAAAAAAATGTATACTTTAGTTGAGGGCCTTGCACTTCTAAAACCACACACATTCAAAGAGCAATGCATTCTGCATTGTTTTCCAAAGCTTGAGTCATCGTAAACCACTGAGCAGCATTATCCTTTCTAATAACTAGTGACCGTCATTCTGACAAAAAGGAAACCATTCTCTTTAAAGGGCTGGAGGTCTTACTTGATTGAGTTTCTGAAATGGTCTTCTGCTGGGTTTTTCACGGTGCAGCTGTTCAGAAGCCACAAGTCAGCCTCAGATGGATTCTCTAGAGAAGGGGAGAAGACAGAAGTTATGCATTAGAAAAATCAGAGCTCACACCAGGAGCTGGCCCATTCCACACACCATAAATATTGTATTTCACTGCTTACTACAATTAATTGTCTCTCACACCCCCATACAAAATGACTCTGTTCAAGAAAGCCAAGATGCACTCCTAGGCTTCACAAACTCAAGGGGATTGGAAAGGACTCTGCTGAAATTATGCTGAAGAAGGGGTTGTCACACTGCGTAACAAATGTGTATATAAATACTAGGCCAAGATCCAGTTTACTGCTGTTTCCTATCCCTTCCTGCATGTTGAACTAAATATTTTAGTTACTATCCATTACCAAGCCTCACTGAAGCATTCAGGAACTACCCTACACTCCTTAAAACTAAATATAAAATGTCAGTCAACACTGTGCTTTAAGAACAAGCTCCCTATTTCTAAGATAATAAAGAGTTTGCCAAAGTTCTGCAGACAGGTCCGGGCCGCCACAAGTACAGCTCACACAAGAGCAGACCCTAGTGCTGTGTGGCAGCATCGGTTTTAGCTAAAAACAGAAGAGAGATAATTCTCTCTTGAAAATTCAGAACCCCCAAAGGAATATATTTTGCAGAGATTTATTGGTGCAAAAAATAATATAATCCAACAAGTATACTGGAAACATAAGCAGTTCTATTCAAGATTATTCAAGAACTAAACTATCCGATAGCAGTTCAGGATATCAATTTATTCCAAATAACAGTTACTTAGGTCTTTGAAGCATTATCGAAGTGATTGAGCTACTGAAATACAAACACAGGGTTTCTCACTTTTGATACACAAATGAACAGTAAATAAGCAGACTGATCTTGAACACTTTTCATTCTAAAAAACACATTTTATTAATAAATGTAAAACTTCTAAAAGAGGAAAAAAACAAATGACAAAAAATGTGAAATTGAACAACAAGCATTATTCTAGCTCAAAAGCTTTTTAAATGTATATTTGTGTCAAATGTTAAAGTGGCAGATCTCATAATCACTGTTAACACACCTTTTGAGCAATTGATTTTATCTTTTGTTATGATGATTATTTCCTCCCCTTGATTACTTGAACCTCTGAAACATATCATTTAGCTGACCCAGTTCAGTGGTCTCTGCTTGTAATATGAAAGCAGATGTTCTTTCATGGTTCCTCAGTAACTCAAAACAGCCAAAGGCAAATGCACTATGTTAAGTATATACGAGATGTCATGATGAGACTCAATTACAAAACCAAGCCCTTAAAATGTGGTCTTTCGTCATTGACTGAGCATTTTCTTTGCACAGCATTGACAAGGCCTTCACCCATGCTAAAAACAGCCCTCAGAACATCAGCCTTAGAATTTCTATACCTAGAACAGCATTCCACTGTGCTTCAGTCCTAACACTTTATTTCCAAAGTCATCAATCAAAACTTCTCCATTTTACAGAATGACCTTTCAACTGGAACCTTTTGCCCAGACACACTAATCATCTCACACTGCCAAACACCTAATCCACAAAGCCTTCTTTTTTACAGTTCCCTTAAGCACCTACAGCTGCCATCCATGCCAGGCAATTTTTGTTGCACCCAAGCTACTGTTAGCTGCAAATACATAGGCAATAACACATACATGGCTCCTATGGCTATTTCAGGATCACCCAAAGGGCATCACGTTTGCTCGGAAATCTCACTTACTGCATCTCTTGGAGAAAGCATCCTGCCATTTAGACTGACAAAACAGAAAGAAGACTGGCCAACTGTTATAGGGAACACATCACAGCAGTGGGGATCTCTTTAATCAGGTTAGTTACCTATTTTATTTCTCCAGGCCATAATTACAGTGATCTTTCTGTCTTTATCATTTGACAGGAATTTAATGGATCCCACACCAAAAATGGATCAGAAGACAAATTTCAGGAATCCCAGATCTCTGGCAGACTGCAGGTACATATCTTCAGGCCTCACAGCAAATTGTCCCAGTGGAAACAGTTTAGAAGCCTGGTGTAGATAGAGCCTCAGTTGTTTCTCAGTGTGCAGTTTATGTAGTGCTGTGTTTGAGACACAGAACATGTAGAATAATGTAATGTAATGTAATGTTTCTTTATTAGCCCTATACAATTTCTTGCATTAGGAATTCGTCTTTTTCGCATACCCCAGCTTTTCTCCATGAGACACAGATACACAGACAGGGAGAGAAGCTTGGGGTCAGAGCGAAGGGTCAGCCATCGTACGTCGCCCCTGGAGCAGTTGGGGTTAAGGTCCTTGCTCAGGGGCCCAACGGAGTAGGATTCCTCTGCTGACCGCGGGATTTGAACCGGCAACCTTCCAGCCACAGGCACAGATCCTTAGCCACAGAGCCACCGCTCCGCCCTGTCAGCTGAGCTGATTCTGACAGTGTGGCTGAGTCCTATAGAACCAGTTCCTTTGTCTCTTTAATCTACTGTAGTGTGCTCTCCACAAGAGTGTAGCTCTTCTTAGCAATTATAGACACTGTGGCAGAGCAGCCTATGAAGGGGCTGGTATTACAGCGCAACTTCCAGCAGAAGCTACCAAACTCCTCTTCTTGGTGTAAAGAGACACACAGGATGATGAACTTTTAATTATGTAGAATCTGCATGGAAGTTGTTAAAGCACTTTGTTAATTTGGGATTTTGATTGGTATTTAAAGGGCTTGGTCAGTCATAGTAGTGTATGGAATTTATCTGAATGCTCATTTCTTTGTTGAAACAACTACAAATTCTGTAGAAAAGCCTTCTGCACTAGCTTGAGCTGTCAACCTGGTTCCCATATTCCACCAGCAATTCACAACTGAAATATTACTATCTTCCCTACTTCCCTTGGAATTTGTCAGATAACCATCTCTTTAGCCCCCTCTTCACGTCGCCTACTCATTTTCACACTAGCATTCTTTTGTCCTTCAGACCCCATCCCTGTGCCTCATTACAGTTTCAATTTCTCCCACAATCCCACACATGCTTAAGGAATCCTCCATGAATATAAGGCAGATTTGTCTTCACTTTCTTTTCAGTGTGGAATTAATTTCTAACTGCTTACAGAATTGAATGTTACCACACTAATATTAAGAGTGATTTTATACCATGAACCATTCAACTACTTGCAATAGTACCTATATACAGGTCCAATTCTTACCTACAGGTGAAAAAGACTCTCATAAATCCTTCATAAGGTATCAAAATACCCTATGAAACATTCACTCTTATAAGAGTGAATAAATCAGTGAGTTCAAAGCTTCAACTACGGTCTGGAAACATAATACTACAAACCCTAATAGCAACAACTCTATTTAAAAACATCTACTGTATATACAATCTGAACAGCATTATTATTATACAGCAGAGGTGGTGAAACATGGCCCTGCAGAGCCACAGGTCAAGGAGGTCTTATAGATTACGCCCCTTAAAGCATAAACTTGTAAAGATTGATAAGCCGATCAAGATTCAAGCTTCATTTGACTTAATTAAATCAGTTATGGCCAACTGTGGTTCTTAAGAGCTACAAGGTAAAGGTATTTCATTTCACATGGTCTCTAAACCATTTAACTGAAAATATCATCTGCTTAAGTGGTAAAAGCAAAATAGTTCTAAGCATTTAGATGTTGATTATTTAAGGGTGATCCATAAAGCTTGGTGGACTGTGATTCACCAGGACCAGGGATTCCCACAAGCGCAATATTGCAACTAATAACTGTGGTGCAAATTATTAATGAGCAACTATTAAAAGCAAGTGCTTTTAGGAATAGCGATATCCATGTTTAAACAACTTTTCTACCTTCCTATTCAACATAAGATGTGTAAACAAAATGTGCTTTAAACATTGAAAAACTAATTTGTCACCATAAAAGGCTGAAGCACTGAAATTTAGAGATTGAAGAATAAAATATGATCCAATTTTTAAAAGAAAAAAGAAAAAATACTAAGAAATCCTCTTAGATGAAGCTAAGAGTGTGGGGCAGTGCTCTGAGCCAAGGAGTGTCAGCACTGTCCCAAGGCAGTAAGGTAAAAGCTGCTCCTGTTTTTGTTTCTGCATGGGGCATTACAGAACACTTGGCACTGTCAGTACAGCTGTGTTCCCCAGCACACATTACCCCCTCATCTGGCAGCTGCACAATCTGAGTCAAAAAACAACAGTGCCTGTGGGAGGACAGCCATTCCAGCAACACCAGGGGTTTCCACAGCAAAATGTAGGTTAATGTACGCTGCCAAAGATTCAGTGTGCCCTGCCAAACCATGTCGCATGCAGACTGCCATCTCAGCTGTTCAAAGTCATCTTCTTCTCTGTGGAACAACCGATGTGAAAAAATATATCTATCTGCTGTACTTACAGCATAGAGCCAGTTTGGAATTCAGCACCACAAAATCAGTCTGAAATAAACTGCTTACATGAGCAAAATTTAAGGAATAGGTTATAGATTCAAAATTGCTGTGGCATACTGTACATGTTATAACAGATTAGACAACACAATGAAAACTGTGAAAGGAAAAATATCCAATTCTTAAAAACGACTAAATGGAAATAGTAATAGGAACAGGGTACTGTATATTGTATCTAAATAAATTGAATTCATTACAAAATTAAATTGTATCTAAATGAAAATGGTGTAAAATTTTTAGAAATGTTTCTAAATTACACACTGATATATATTTTTTGATAATTATATGATAGCGATATGAGAGTTAAACACATTCTACCCATGTTAACGAGGGTTTCTTCCAGGTGCTTGAGTTTCCTCCTATAGTCCAAAGACATATTGTTGGATAATTGGCTTCTGGAAGAATGGTGTCAGTACTGTATGTGCATGTTTGTGTCTTTGTGTGCCCTGTGATGGACTGGCATCCCATCTTGGATGTGCCCATTGCTTGCTGGAACAGGCTCCAGCTCCCCTGTATTGAACAGAGCAGTTAAAAAACAGATGAATGGACGGACATTGATAATTCAGGTATATGTACAAATGTGACAATTCATTCAGGTTACCTAGA